AACGAACGGGAGCCGATCTAGGACTTGAGCCCTGCACCATTCACATGGCGAACAGCGCCCCTCACCACTATACTACGGCAAAGTATTGCTATTTAGAATTTGGTTTTATATCGCGTTAGAGAAGTTTACAACTTCTCTCTCTGTCACTATTTCTGGTGACTAGGGACTACCGATCTCGAGAAACTACTGAGTCCCCAGAGGAGTAAGACAGGATGCCTTCCAAACTGGCCCAAGCGCTGACAAGTGTGGGAGTCAATGTTAGCTTTGGACCTAAACTCCACTTTTCCCAGTTCGTTTCATTCACTTCAGTATCCACTGTCTCTCTCCTGTTTGCCTCCCCGATGTTCTACTGGATATCTGTGGAATGGGTGGGTTGCTCACCCGGGGTTCCTGGGGTGAATTTTTGTGTCCAGATGCGGGTGAACAGCGCACAGACACCGGCAATTAGTCGTGGTCAACACAAAATTAGCGCACATGGCGACCCTCGATGAACTCTTGCCTAATCCATAATTGCTTTCTCTCGACTACCAACAACTCAAGGCGATAATTGACGGTCCTACGAAGATTGCCTGCTACAACAGAACTTGATGTGGGCGCAGGTGACAACAAATTGGATTATAACGTCTACACAAAAGGCGACGATGCGTGCCTGATCGTCTTAGAACCGTTGCAATCGATCCAAAGGGCTAAGACATGACGAATCGAGCAAGAACAACGAACCTGTATCCTTGCTTCATTGAGTTTTGTGATTCGGGCCAATTCTTCACGTACATAGATGTCGGGATAATGGCTTTTCTAAAAAATCAAAGCAGTAATGGCCCGCTAAGAAACCCGAAAAAATCAATTGAAGCCAAAGTTACCTGGAATGCTGAATCGAGTTCGGCCAACTGTTCCTGGGTGAAAGTGGTACGATGGCGCCTTCTGAATATTCTTTGATTAATAGAAGACATTTTGATAGACTCCTACCAAGAAAATAAATTTGATAAGGATAATCGCCTTCTGGTCGGGAGTGAGATGATCACCAACAGGTGAAATAGATTGGCCTTCTCCATCCCTAATCACCCAGAGCAGGGAATCTTACAGTATTCTTCAGTATGACACCTTCTAACTATTTGCTAAGATTCCTTGACGACTAGGTTTCCTGGCCCTTGAGGTTTATGACGCGTGCGGCTGCGAAGCAGCTCTGTTCCAAACTTCGTGTTAATGAATTGTTCGGTTTATAGCCGCTTTTTTTGTACATTACTGCATCAGTGATCCTAAGAGATCGTATCTACCGCTTGTGGCGCTGTTCAGCTTTTGTAGGGGGAGGGGAAACGCATTTTTCTGCCCATTGGCTTCTTTTACTACTCGCTATTTGTTTTCTCGTCTCCCACATGTGAGACTTGTAGGCAATGATCAGGAACTAGCAAAATGCTCCCGCCTAGACGAACTGCGCCCCGCTTAGCAACCGCCGGCTCCTGTTCTAGGTATGCGTTTGCCCGAGCTTAAAGGTCCTTTCAGTTTTGGAATAGGTTGTAAGCACCTACTCTTGATCCCACACCATCGTTTACACTACCGTAAATCCTTTACCGTAAGCCCTTACGGCCCCTAGGTGATGAGCACTGGGGCCACAACGTTGTTCCATCTGCCTACCTCTAGTCCATGCACCTCACCTAAGGAGTACTTCTCACATAGCTAGCTAGGCCTACAAAGTCTTCAGCATTTCTTATAAAGCCAAAACTTCTCATCACGTAAGTCTTGGCCACTGTGTAAACTGGACAGGCCACAAACCCGGGATGTTGGAGGTCCAGGTCAGGGTCCTGACTATGGTCGATGGGCCCACAACACAGTATTCTGTGATTACTGGATACATTACACGTTTTGGGAGTAAAAGTGTGTCACGGTGGCGCGGTTGCACTTAATTCCTCCCAGGAAGGGCACGATGCCGACTTTCAGGCAGGGTCGAATTGAAATCTGAATGGATATTCGTCCCAAACAGGTTACCAACCAGGAACAAACACTGTTGCATTCATTCCTACCTCCCATACTATTCTTTATCTGACTGTGAAGTCACTGTAATCAAGGAAAACTCCGTCACCCTCAAGGCTACCAAGGCGGAAACCAATAGCCTGGCAAGGGGTTGAGCGTTTCTGGTTCTTAGCAAAGTTATTAGTACCGCTAAAGGTTTTCTTGAGTACCACCATGAGCTTTGTCAAGCGGAACCTTCCGGGGATTCCCTGATTCCTTAACTGCGAATTTTGTCCTATTCCCATGAATTTCTCAGTGTTTCTTCCTTGTCCTGGAAGTAGGACATATTCAAAACCTCTCTTGATATAGCCGGATAGCCCACGACATGTCTATGGCTCCCGAGCCGACATAGGTGATCTACAGGTGACTCAATGCGCTATGTAGTAGTAACATGACATTTACTATGATAAAAAGTGATTACCGCGCTGGTGTTGAGGGGATTCCCGACAGTGACGATGAGAAGACACCGCTTGACGTCACACTTTCGGCCTTGATCTTCTTGAAAGCTCCTTCTGAAAATGGAATTTCAAATTCAAAATAAAGTTAACAAAAACACTTTTCCCTTCGTCGTTCACATTTCGACAATTGAAAATCGAAATCTCAGACGTAAGCCAGTATGATTCACGATGTGTGCAACAATCGTGCATGCAGATGGGCGCAGACAAGTGGATAAGCAGCGGATTAAAGGGCGCGTAAAGCTGGTCCTAATGGCCATTTCGGATTACGGTAAGTGGACAAGCTGCGAGAAGAAATCACTGTGAGGTCATTTAGTCAATGATGTGACTTCGTAGTGACTCTTAAGAATCTGTTTGGCTCTTGAGACGACTTCAATATGAGGACAGACGGGCGTATGGACAGCCGGACTGTCGAGACTGTCAGGTCATGCCAAATAGCGCTAAACGCCAAGCTGCAGCGCCATATTCAACCATTCAACCCGGATTATCAACTTATT